TGTGGCATTAGGAAGGTTGAGAACCACTGCTTTATATAAAACTCTCTCATAAAATATGAGTGTCCATGAACTTGTTCCTCTAGTCTACCGAGACTAACACATTGTGGTACCGGGAGTTGGGTACTGGAGAAACAAATCATAAAGAAGGAGAGTGGATGGTTATTTGACTTCTGCCTCATGGTAGTGTTTCTTCTTTGGCTAGCCAGAAGTCAGATATGTCCATGAAGTTTACTGGTTTGTTTTCTGGAAAGAACATGGAAAGTTAAAGTTTTTATTATTATGTTTGGTTGTAGTCTTTGGTTATTCCTGTGTGAATTGGCAAGAATGAATGTTGTAAATGTATATTTTGAGCTCAGGGGAAGAAATCATCATTTGAATGTCTCAGAAACCATGCTCTGTGGGCTGGGTAGTCTACCACTCCGTTCTATGCTCTGGCTTCTGGTTCTGATCCTGCTATACTGATTTTAGCGCTGTCTTCTGGATCCAGCAGGTTCACTGCACAGAGATCTCGGGTTAGAGAATGAGCTCCACTCCTGGCTCTTCTGGTACTAAGATCCCTTTTCTCCTGCTTCTCAAAGGGCCCGTTTTATACACAGCAGGATGGCATTCTAGGGAATCCTATTCACAATAATTCATAGGTGAATCCTGTCAGTATGTTCCCACATGTTCTTACTAGACCCATGCAAAGAAAGGTCATCTGGTGGGAGTTAGAAATTTTGGCTAGAAAAGCCATATTAACATTATGTTTACAGACATTTCTTATACACCTATCTCTATGGACACACATAGAATTGACATGTGAACATGTCAATTTTTCTTTAAAAAAACAACTTATTTTACTTAAAAACAACATAAGCATACACTATTAACTTATATATGAAACTGTGATGTTATACACATATATTAAAATTATAATATTTAACATTATACAACGAGATAATGGGTTTGATGTCTTTAAGGGTCACTTGGGTTGGTCAGTATAACAATCTCTGCTGCATTATCTTTACATTTGATGCTTACATTCATTTTTTACTACGTTTATATTTATTACTGATATAACGCTTTCATGTGTGAAACTGATTTACTGGGATTAATACTCAATTTACCTTCCGACCAAATAGATGTGTTATTTGTAGAGATAGGTATACCACACATAAAATTTCAAGAATAAAAGGTTTAGAAGAAAATGAATTTGGATATATATTTGTCTCGGTAAATGGTAAAAG